CGCTGCTGCCGCTGCTGGTCCTGTTGTTGGTACTGCTGCTGCTGCTGCTGCTGCTGCTGCTGCTGCTGCTGCTACTGCTGTCGCTGTCGCTGCTGCCGCTGCTGGTCCTGTTGCTGCTGCTGCTGCTGCTGCTGCTGCTGCTGCTGCTGCTGCTGCTGCTACTGCTGCTGCTGCTGCTGTCGCTGTCGCTGCTGCCGCTGCTGGTCCTGTTGTTGGTACTGCTACTGCTGCTGCTGCTACTGCTGCTACCGCTGCCACCGCCGCTGCTGCTACATGCGCAGCATCCCGTGTCCTCACACACTGCTCAGCTTCACTAGGCCTCGCTCGTGGTCCTCCTGCATCGAATCGACCATCTCTGACGCGATGAGATTCATCTGAGACTCCTTAACGGCCTTGTGCGCCGTCATGCCCGACGACATCGGCGGAGATAGTGGCACCCTCGCTGAGACCAGCTCCCCAGGTCCGCAGTAGCCGTTCTGCACCACATGATGACCTGCGAAGAGAGAGAGAGGGAAGATATAGAGAGAAAGATATATCGAGAATGAAAGCATGACTTGTAAGTGCTGATTGTCATGGTGCCGGGGATCTAGTGTTTGTGCTGGGAACTTTGCCTTGGGCCTTAAACTCACAGCCTACAATACTTCACCTTACTTTAATTAAATTTTATTTTATTTAAGCCTTAAATTTAGTCTTACTCGTAGAAGCAGCAGATGCAAAAGATGAAGAGTAGTGAGTACGGAAGAAGTTGAAGAGTGGTGAGTAAGCAGGGGTGAAGCACTAAGAACTCACGTAAATTACACTGTTCACCTTCTCCAGGTATTATAGACATCGCAGACGTTTGACTTATAGAACGACTTATAGAACAATTTATAGAACATGGCTTTGAGAAGGGAGTCTACGTAGTCGTTGAGACGTGCATCATGATGCATGTGATCGCTAGATGGTGCATTTGTCGTTCTCTATTCTCACCTTAACCGTCACAGATATCATCGGTTCTGCAGAAATCCAGTTTTCAATGTCCCACGAACGTCTTACATGCTCTCCAATCACTACATTCTATACATGATGAGTGTCTTATTGCATTCTATACTCCCACTACACTACTGATCGACGTCCGAGGTTTATGTGACCTCTACTCTAACACAGCACTCGTCAAAAATGGTCTCATGCACGGCATGTGCATTATCCTAGCTCTACAGTCGTTATCAACATCTGCTGAGTATCTTATTATACTCTACACTACCACTACACGCGGCTCCATGACGATTTCACGCATTATTCTACCATTACAATCGTTATAAATGTCTAATAAAAGCATTAGTAATATTTTACCTAGTTGCAAAGCTTGTTAGAGAGATCAATGCGGGCGGTTAGAACTGCCACGTCTGTCGTTGTCACAGAAAAAGGTCACCACCTCAAAAGACGCTCACACAAAAAATGAAAACAAAGGAAAACGTGAAAGTAAAATGAAGCCATTCATCATTTAATTACAAAAACTGAAAAGACATGTAAGGTTCGGCTGCAGCAGGCATCACAACCGCATGCTGTAGACGCACCACATTCCCATATAAATAGACCCACTCACATAGGCACACAAGAAGACAAAATGACGCCATGCAGCATTAGAGTTCACGAGGTTGCAAAAAACAACAACAAAAACAGAAATAACCAGCGCTTGCAGGATGGTACGGGACGCTAACCTACATTATAGCTATTAAATTAGGTATCGCAAGCTACGCATGTGCACGCGAGCGCACCCCTATGTTGCATCGTAAAATACATGTTATCTCCCACTCTAACTTGGCTGCAGCTTCAGAGAGAAACTCATTCTAATGCAATGAGTAAAGATACAAACTCGTTCACGCCTTAGTTGATCCTTCACCTATTGGCCTAAAGACCTTTGTCAGGTAAATTCTAATTCGTGTGCTAACTACTGGCTAAATGCTATGTCAGACCAACTGAGGCCTAACTAATGCTACTCCTACTCCATGAAAGATCATTTATGCAATCAAATAAACGTTCTTAAATAAGTATATGATTTTTTATCAAAATTACATCATCACAATTATACACGTATATCAAAATTGTTGATTTGATCAAGCACTTCCCACAATTACGTATACTGTAATTACAAAACATATATATCGTATTCACTTACTCATTCATTTGGTTATGCTCTGAGACTGTAGGTTTATCAAATTCCCCCCAAAATAGCTTCTCAAGATGAAAGCAAGAATCCCAGAGTATAGTGAGATTTTGATACAAAAATATATATATCGAGACACCACCACAGGAAAGAAAACAGAATACATTTGCCCTACACATGACTTGTTGATATACTGCCATTCAAACGGACTCCCTCAACACAAATTACAGAAAACACAAGTAGTTATTTACACTAAAAAAACTAACCGCAAATGATGTGGTGGTACAAGATTTCAGTAAACAGACGTTTTTGCACGAAAGCAGATGCAAAATTACACGAATAGATGTGCACCACGCCACACTGCATTAATCGGGTGATTCATTGATTGTAATAAGCTGCTCAGATAAACACAACATGAACAAATCCATGCTGACCTACTCTCTCTCACCTCGTACAGAGTGATCTAACGCCAGACAAACATAAGATCATGCATCATCACAACTTGTAACTTTACGATCAAACACATCCATGCGAACATAGGTCGAAGGAGAAGTTGGCTGTCCCTACTGTTACGAATTTAATATGCGTGCGTGCGTGTGAGCCAATTTGTTTGGACCAATGCAAAACGTGGCGCGACGAGGTGGTAAAGTGAACGGTGAAAGGTGCGAAGGTGAGTAAGGCCATACAACTATTGCACATTCGAAGCGCGACACACATCTTACGGGATGTTACATCACGTAGAGACGGAAGCGTATGTCGAGACAGGGTAGTAAGATACAAACTACACCTACGCATTGTGTTTTTACTGGGTCCAATAGCAAATGTTGCAAAATCACTCGCACAAACATGGCTGCACGCCTGAAATAAATAACGCACAAAGTAGAAAACTCGAAAGTGAAAAAAAGTGTCTGGAAGAGTTACGCGGCCCGGGGATAATCATCGCGTCTATCGACGGATGAACGTCAATCGTTACTGCATTATCGTTATCGTTAACGACTTCTCGTTAAGCGTCCGACGCAAATTCTCCCTCAACTATATCGCAGCGATGTGCGCGTCATGCGCATGCACGCGCGGTAGACGCCGCCCCCACGCACTCGTGCACGCACGCACGCACGCACGCACGCACGCACGCACGCACGCA